AATATTGACTACATGAACAGTTTACATGGTAAACTTAAACATAAAAATACTGACATAACAAATAATTCTATTAATATTTGTGACATAAATACTATGACTGCAGATTTAAACTGCTCACAAAGACAAAGGGAAAGCAATCAGAATTAATAATTGTTCATCAGAACATACAAAGTTTTCCCGGCAGCGAGTTAATTATACAATTATTTTTAGAAAAGTATAATATTGATATTGTCTGTTTCACAGAACATTGGCTTAAAGAGAGCAATATGATGTTCAATTTAAATAATTATAACGTTGTCAGCTGCTTCAATAGAAAGTCAGTTAACAGAGGCGGGTCTATGATAATTGCAAGAAATAATATTAAAGTAAAGGAACGTGCTGACATTGTTAGACTTTCTATTGAGTGTTGTATAGAATTATCTTGTATAGAACTAGAAAATTATATCCTTATATGTGTGTACAGGCCTCCTAATAGTGATTACAATGTATTTGAAGGGGTGATGGAGGATATATTAAAAAAAATATTTAATAGTATTAAAAAAATTATTGTATGTGGAGATTTTAACGTTGATATTCTTTGTAACACACCCACATGTACAAAAATTATTAGTTTATTTCAATCATTTGATTTAAGTCATGTCTTTCATGAACCCACTCGTGTAACTGCCACGTCTGCTACTTGTCTTGACAATGTTTTTTGTAACTGTGAGTATACAGAAAAATTCATAATAAATAAACTTCCTTCAGATCACTGTGGTCAAGTTGTTAAGTTTAACAGTCAGATCAATAAAGTCAACAATAATAAAAAATCAAAAAGACAAATAAATGTTTACAATATTAACAAATACAAAAGCGCGATTAAAAATAAATTGGATTTGCTGTTACAATCTAGTAATAATCCTGATTATCTTTACACCAAGCTAATTACTATTCTATCAGGAGAATATGAACAATTTTTCAAGAAAAAAGAAGTTTATGTTAAATCTAAATTCACGGAATGGGCAACAGTAGGTATACTTAAAAGTAGAAATATTTTGTTTGATTTATACGATCAAAAAAAATATCGATTTGATGACAAATTCACCACTTATGTGAAAAATTATTCAAAAATTTTTAAAAAAGTTTGTATTACGGCTAAATCTAATTATATTAATAAACAAATTAACCAGTCTTCTGATAAAATTAAAACCATCTGGGGCATTATAAATAAAGAAACCGGAAGATCTAAATTAGCCTATAATCAATTTGCATTAAATTATGATAATAAATTAATAACAGCAACAAAAGATGTAGTTATTGTTTTTGAAGATTTTTTTGCTAACATTCCGATTAACATTACATCTTCTCTGGACTCATCTCCATCTCGAGCAAAAGTATTACTAGAGTCTAATATCGGTTGTTGTGCTTTAAGATTTAAATTTTCACATGTTAGCCCCGTTCATATCATAAAAATATTCAAACATCTAAATTTAAAAAATACAGAAGACCTTTGGGGCATGTCTGTAAAAGTAGTTAGTTCTTTCATAGATATTGTTGCTCCATATCTAGCTACTATTTTTAATAAATGTATTGATAATGGCACTTTTCCACAATTAATGAAATTTAGCAAATTAATCCCACTATTTAAATCAGGTGATAAATTTGAGCCAGGGAACTATAGACCTATATCTATTTTGCCAGTTCTAAGTAAGGTGTTTGAAAAGATAATGTTAAATCAAATGTTACAACACTTTAGGGATAACCGACTGCTTCACAGTCAACAATATGGTTTCACCGCCGGCAAGTCTACCACTGACGCAGGTGTAGCGCTGATAACACATATTTTCCAATCATGGGAGAAGTCACAGGATGCACTCGGAGTTTTTTGTGACCTATCAAAGGCATTTGATTGCGTGGATCATAAAACACTTTTGTACAAGCTCGAACATTATGGTATAAAAGATAATGATCTAAAATTAATGAGAACTTATTTAGAGGATAGGGTCCAAACTGTAGATATTGACGGTATAAAATCTAAGGGAGCTAATATTGGGATGGGCGTTCCACAAGGGTCAATCTTAGGCCCCTTTCTCTTTTTAATTTACATAAATGACCTTCCCTTTATGGTAGAGAAAATTGCAGATATAGTGCTGTTTGCGGATGATACTTCGTTAGTGTTTAAAATTGGACGTCAAACTAATCAATTAGACGATGTAAATTGTGCTATGTCTGCTATATTAAATTGGTTTACATGTAATAACCTATTATTAAATTCCAGCAAAACAAAGTGTATAAAATTTACACTTCCTAATGTAAGACCAATAAATACACAGTTATTGCTTAATGATGAAATAGTAAATTTTGTTAATGATACAGTTTTTTTAGGTATAACAGTGGACTCGAAATTACAATGGGGGCCCCATATTTCAAAATTGGCCAATAGACTCAGTTCAGCTGCATATGCAATTAGAAGAATTAGGCAATTAACAGACGTGGCGACGGCTAAACTTGTATACTTTAGTTATTTCCATAGCATTATGTCATATGGTATACTACTGTGGGGTAAAGCAGCCGATATAAATACTATATTTATTTTACAAAAGAGAGCCATACGTTCTATTTATGGTATGGGTTCAAGAGAGTCATTACGTCAGTGTTTTAAAGATTCAAATATCCTCACCGTTACTTCACAATACATTTATGAGAATATCATGTATACACGGAAGAATTTAGAGAGTTTTAGAAAACTTAAAGACTGTACAAATAGAAACTTACGCAATAAAAATAAGCTAATTTTACCTAAATGCCGCCTGCACAAAGTCAGTAATTCATTCTATGGTAATTGCGTAAGATTTTATAATAAACTGCCAGAATCTGCACTAAATCTGACAGAGAGGCAATTCAAATCTTATATTAAACAATTTTTATGTAAGAAAGCCTATTACAGGATAAACGAATTCATAGAAGACAACATATCAAGTAAATAATTAGTTTATTAGCATACAACGTTATAATTTGTTTATCTCATTGCTTTCTTGATTCAATTATTTTAGAAATATGAAAGCGTAGCGGGTTTTGTATTAATTGCCGCATGCATTCTTATGTGAAATGTGAATACTATAAACATCAGATGGCAATTGTGAGTAGCTATGACGTGGTCTGGTGTTTTGAGTAGTCATGCTCACTAAAATGTCCAGACTTGTGGCGGCGTGGTGGGCCGGGTCATTGGGCTCCCTAAAATATGGTCGAGCGCAGTGATGGCTGGCTCATCCGTCATACTCGTGAACGGGTGCTGCTTGTAGGGACTGGTCTGCTCTAATCACTATGACTGATTTCCTCTTATTAATTGTTTAACCAGTTGGTTATGTATTCAATATTTTTTTCTTTTTGAGTATTTAATTGAATTAGTGCTAATCGGTGGTTTGTATTCACACACTTAAACTTAAATTGTAAGTGAGAATAAATTATTTAAAAGAGCAACACACAAGTTTCTTGCTTGTTCTTCTTGTGATGAGACAGCATTCCGAATGAGCGGTAGATTAAAAAAAAAAAAAATGTTATGACTATTCAAAAGTGCTTCAATGTAAGTTTATTTGAATAAATGATTTTCTATTCTATTCTATTCGAGAAAGTTTATGAGTATTTTTTTAAGAAAAATAAAGAATTCTCTAAAGCGGTAATTTTTCGGAATTTAATGTAATTTGTATTATAATGTAATAATAGACTTTAATATTGAACGAAATGACATTTCTTAGTAATCTTCCTCATATAATAAACGCGGAAGTTTGTCAGTATAGATGGTTAGATTGAAGGATATTTGTTACTCTTTCACGCAATATCTGCTGAATGGATTTTAAAGGAAACTGCATAATATAGCTTATACATGAGAATAACATTTGCATTATAAATTTTAGGTAGGCACAACTAGTGGAGTATAGTTTCTAATAGTTCTGTCATGACTGTCCCAAGAGTCAGGCTGGCTTTGTACATATGTGGGCGACATACCTCATTATTTTGTTACAACCCTACTTGTCTGCATACAAATAAATAACTAGTACTGGACAACACATATAATTCTATTAGTACTAAACTAAGCAGGGATGTAATTGTATTGTAGAACTAATGGATATATTTGAATACATTTTTTTTTTATAAGTGTATGCATAAAATAAATGTATAATTAGACTAAAGGCTGGCATAGTTAATAATATAAACGGTTTAGCCTCAGTTAAGAGCTGAAAAGAACTTTGAACTGACGGTAGATTTGACATATCATAAGAGTCTGTATAGACCTACATGAATAAAGACATTTTGATTTTAGTGTGGGAACCAAACACGTGACAATCGGTACGTATAGTAATGTACTTAACTACTAGATTTTCGACGTTACATCATATTGTTACCACTTACCCTCAGGTGGACCATCCGCCTGGTTGCTATTTCAGTTACATCAAAAAATCCATACATAGATAGATTTCTCAACGACGACCTCGGTGGTCTAGTGGTCTAGCACACCGCTTTACGACCGATGGTCGCGGGTTCGATTCCTCGCACGGCACAAACATTTGTATTCATGAGTATGATTGTTTGTATCGGTCTGGGTGTTTTCTATGTATAATATGTATGTATTTACAAAAAAATATATATCTATGTATATGTATATATGTATATATATGTATCAGCTATCTAGTACCCATAACACAAGCTTTAGCTAGCTTAACTTGGGTCAAGATGGCGCCGTGTGAATTGTCTTGAGATTATTATTATTTCTATATTTTGCCCACATCAAATCCTATATATGGTAAGTTAAAAGATTTATTATCTATTTTTGAAGTATTATGTAGGGAAAAATGAATACACATTTTTCGCGGAACAACCATAAATAATACGGTTTAGATTAATTCTACACAAAAGATACATCATTCAACGCTGTAATCCCTCGTAATAGGAAACAGGTGTATGAGTACTGTACCGCGTGGGTGTACATCTAGAGATATCAAAAGCGCTATTCATCAACTTACGTGTCCTTGTCGCGAGGAATCTCCTCTCCTTTCTCGACTTCAAACAACGGCACTACAAAGATCGTCTTAGCGAATATACAGCCCTCATTTCGTTTCTTATCTCCCATAAGTTTCCTTACCATTGTCAGAAATTTAGGCGCTAATCCATCACTCGGCACCATTTCTATGTCTGACACTATGAAATAATTTGTCCTCGAAGCATTTCTAGCGACGTTCCTACCTACGTTTATAGGATATATCACATTATTTAACCGTCTGAATGTAAGTATATTAAACGACTCTAAGCCAGAACAGTCCTGGAATCGCAATGTAGGTGCGTAGGAGCGTTTCTTTGGTAGTCCCCTCATCATTCTTTCGATTTTATTCTTTCTCACCCATTCAATGTACTGAGCACGCGTTTTATTGTTCAAATTTCTATATTTATTCAATTTCTCTTTTAATATATCTTCTATAGTGCTATTAATAGTTGTAACTGCTACAGCTGTTGTGGTTATCAATCTTTGTTCTTTTGTCCGCATTTTAGGTGGGAACTTTCTAGGATAAAACAAGTGAAGCGAAACCTTCGACATTCCAGAGTAACAGTGACACAACTGGTTCATAATTTGCATGGTTATATCAATATCGTAATCAGGAACAAAGACTGATAGACTGATTGGTCCGTCCCAGTATTTCGCTATTTCAACTACATGGTAGATAAATTCTGGAGTAGCTTGTGTAGCGTAGGTGAGAGCTTCGTACTTACTAGTATTGGCATAGGCTTTGCCTTTAATAGCGTTGTAAATGACGAGATAGGGACTTAGATTTCCTGCCTCCGGTGATTTTTGCAAGCGGAAACTTCCCCATTTCAATGTATCTGGTAGGCCATAGTTGAAATCACAGTAACTCACGTTCTCATTGGGATGTTGTCCTTTTAGGAACAAACCAGGGTTGTAATCAAAGTCACCTACCCTGGCTCTTCTGTAGGGTCGGTCGTGGTGTCTGTACGCGTACAGTTGGAGAATAATGGTGATAGTGACGATGAAGGAAGCAATTAGAAGCACCGTTGAATGCCTCCTCGATAGTCTGAAGGAATATGCCCCGAATATTCGCAGACATCTGGTCATTTTCAACTGACATTGTCTTTAATTAGCTACTTGCTTTGACATACCTTCTTTTACTACACCAATTTAATGATCTCCTTTGATTATAATATAAAAAACACTGTTGTTGTTGTATTCGAATAATGTGAAGATATCTTGATGATTATAAAAATTCTAATATAAATATATCACTGGCATATTGTATTTGACAATATAAACAATATTTCTAATATATTACTGGTCATATCAATAATAAATCATTAAATTATACACTAATTCAGAGTAACCTATATCCCTTTTAGACACATTTTTGCACTACTTATACAACACGAAATACAGTCCAAATTATAGTTTAAACGAATTAATTTAATAATTCACTGAGTCTATTATGATAATATTGTGTATTTATACTGTATTACAATGGGAAAACACTATAAAATTTGCGTGAAAATTTGCTTTTCCACAAAGCCCACTGTTTTGACAGATACGTGGAACTCTGGTGGCGCTTTCGGGAACTAAAAAATCAATATATCGCCGCGCCGTTGTAAGCAGGTTTCCTATGCTACTTGGTGAATTATATTTTCATAGGAAAGTACCTAAATACTAAGTATTAATAAATATATGTACCTGAATAAAATAGGTCCTGATAAATATCATTATATTATTTTAATCAGTATAAAACAAGAGTTTATTGATAAACAGTGCACCATTATATTGGCGCGAATGACTATGGAGGTAGACATCCAATTGTTGAAGACCTGTTATATACGTAACAAGACTAATTTGATTATTAAGCTATTTACATATTACATACCGCCTTGCTTTCGATGTTCGCGGATTCGATTCCTCGCACCGCACAAAAATTTGTATTCATGAGTATGATTGTTTATATCGGTCTGGGTATTGTCCATATATAATATGTATGTATTTACGAAAAAAATATCTATGTCTTTAATCAGCTATCTAGTATCCGTAACACAAGCTTTAGCTAGCTTAAATTGAGTCTAGATGGCGGTGTGATTCGTCCTGAGATTACTATTATTATTATTTATAATTCTTTCTTTAATCATAGCTATTTTAATTGTAATTATAAACATTACAAATATACTTTATATTTATTTACAAAATAACACTCCACAGTACATTTTCATGAATGTGTAATCAATTCCGCATGTTTGAATAGAAAAACCTTTTTATTTTACATTTCGCAAACTAATTTGTTCGTTGCAATGAATTCCGAGGAAAATTGTATCAGAGCGGCAGCGAACTGACAGACCACATGACACCAACTCAATTTAAACTTTGTTTCTTGCAGTATTCGATAACGTTTAATTTGTATAGATGTTACTGTATATAAAAAATATGTACTGAAACTGAATTAAATAAAGATGATTTAAGAAATAGAAATAATCTTTATTCAAATAAACTCAATGTAAACACGTTTGAATATTTTTAATACTACACCTCATTCGGAACGCAGATTCATCACAAGAACAATAAACGAGACTTGTTGCTCTTTTGAATAAATAGTTTCTTAAAATAAATAATTACACAATAACAAGTAAGAGGCATCCGATAATCAACATATCATAGAAACCGCTGTACACTCATTCTTAGTGCAATATTGTCAGTGCTATGAATTTAAAGTTTTTTTACAAAGAAAGATGTTGTATTGTAAAGAAAAACCAATTTAATTTCATAAAAATCAGTTTATAAAAAAAACTATTGGCGTGAAAGTACTCCCAAACATTCACATTTATAATATTAGTAATATACCATATGAAAATTGAGATTATATGCAATAGAAAATTGTTTGGTGGAGGAATATTGCAGTGATTGTAATATAATAATAAATAAAAAAATGTAATATTGTTTTGTACACTGAATATATTACTGACACCGTGAAATGTTCGAGAAGAAGTGTGTATAAAGTCATAAAAAGAAACAAAACAATATCGATGTTCTTTGCTTGACGTTCTATTTTCGAATTGAGTAATTATATTTTTAAAATACACTAAAAGATTATTTAATCTCAAACATCTATGCCTATATTATTTATGATGTCTGTTAGTATTAACATCACTATACAGCCATGACGTGTTCATCCTACTGCGACTGCGCGCCACAGGTGCACGATATTGCATTGTGCATCTGTGGCGCATTACGTTTTCGCGGGAAAATATGACTACAAAAATGACTTTTTCTGCAGATATATTTTTTTTCTGAAATGCGTTCCTATTTCATAATTATTTTATACAATTTCTATACCTTTATATATCTGTAATTTAGTTTTATTGTAATATACTTTTTATAAATACAAAAAACCTGAACATAAATTCAGCCTTATTAAAATACCTAACAACTAGCATTTTATACACACCGGTACAAACTCTTTTGGTTACAAAAAAAGAAAAGTAAAAAGTAAGGAATCTTACACACATTTAAATTGAAAATTTCCTGTTTTAAATCTGCTTGAATACTTGACTTAAAATAACATTGAACAATATCTGTTTTTGTTATTAATCTATGACTTTATGTATGCAAAACATAAAAGAGGTCCGGTCCAGTCCAGTCAGCTCGTGACCAGGACTAGTGCAGCCTAGTCGAAACGTCAAAAGAGGTAAATATCTTTATTTGCCATAAAATTATTCCTGTTAAGATCCGCTTAATAATATAAATAACACCTCTCTAAATAATCCTCTTTTGGATCAAAGTTTATCGTACATCAAAAATATAGTAATATTATAAATTCTAAAATATATGTTATAATAGCTGAGAGTATCTTAATGAAAAGTATCTTATCTTTACGTGAGAACAGATTATGTCACGAGACACTAGCAGACAGACATTAGCTATCTTCGCATCAGCAAAATGAAACTGATGAAATCGTGCGTAACATTATATATACATCTAAAATATAAAGCAAGATTACTATCAAAATACATTTTGTATTAGCGCGTCGAAAATTTAACTGCAGTTATGAGGTCGGGTATAATATAACCTAATTTCAGTGGATGAGAACCAAACTTTCTGATAATACATATAAGTTCTACTATCCGTTGAATATTCCATCAAATTATAAACGTTTGCTACCAATTCTACTTATAAGATCCGAATCTTTATTTTAAAGCATCAGATTTAAAATCATCTAATAATTGTATTACATTAAAACTGGCTGGTACGTGTCGATGCGGCCCGAATGCTCAGATGGTAGGTGATGTTGGCTTCAACAGATTACGGGTTGTAGAAAATGATAGAATTTGCTTACTATCTTAAATTTAATGGTAAATATACTATTAATTACAAATTATGGATGAGTGAACAAATATACGTTAAATCGATCGAATGATTTCTAAAGTCTGTTCGTTAGGTTGCGTATTTAAATTGGATGGGCGTACGCTCCAATCAGAACACTTCCTTTGTGTTACGTTTTGTTGCTGCTTGTACGCGACACTGACTAATATATTAACTTCTAGCTATTTAGTACACCGTATTACTTCCATACAAACATTTGTGTTATTGAGTATGATTGATTATATCAATTTGGGTGTGTTCTGTGTTTACATATTTGTATGTATTCAATAAAACCGACTAATATATCGTCTTCGGTTTCACGCCTTATTTCCATACAAACATTTATATTATTGAGTATGATTGGTTATTTTGAATTGCGTGTTTTCTGTGTATTCTATGCATATTATGTGTCTATTTACAAACTATATCTGTACTAACGTTATAAATGCTAAAGTCTATCTGTTTGTCTATTTGTTACCTTTTTATACTTAAACGGCTGATCGGATCTTAATAAAATTTATCATTAAGATAGATTGTGTTACAAGGAAGAACATACAATTATATTTTATCATTAATAATAATCTAATGAATAAGACGAAAGTTTGCGCAAGCGACGACGAGTATATATATGTATATATCAGGCTCTGCTTACCTTGGGACTAGACGGCGTTGCATGTATAGTCCAGGGATATTATTATTATTACATATATTATAATAACATTAAACATTTCAGTGAGCAATACTCGTATCCATGATATTATTTCGTTTGATGCTTTCCGTTCAGTTCTGGAAATAAAACGTTAATAATTGGCAACTCTACAAAATGCCCTCTGGCCTTTTGAAATTGTATACGTATTTATCATCGCATAAACAAGTGGACGTGGCAGGTCAGAATAAATAGAAATATATTTATTCTGGTAAACCTTACAAATCTCCATAGGAATCGTGGCTTAGTGGTTTACTATATACCTTGGACGAAAAGGTCATGAATTAAGATCTGGCGGGTACCGAAAAAACTTAATCAAGTTATATTCCTGATTAACTCTCCAGGGATGGACAAACCGACAATAAACTTAACTAATACAAGAATGGACGATACCCTAGACAATGTCTCTGGTGATACCATTTAAGATAACAGTCGTGATGATGTCTTTATTTGTGTGCTAACTAATAAAATCAATATTATTATTCATCTATAAGCTCTGCTACATAATAGGAAACGGGATGAATAGCCCTCATTACTTAGTATTAGGTAAGTACTATACATGTGAGTATATGCATTCATTTTGACGACATTTAGTGGTCTAGCGGTTTACCACACTGATTTACTTTGAAATGGCCACAAGATGCCCACATGAGAAACATTTCGCGATCATACTCATGCGTCGCATTACAAAGGACTACGATGCCATGCCTCTTATCCAGTAATTTCATTACGTAGTCATACCCTACAGTCGAAACATGATTTACGATTGCAAGCTGCTCGGCGGCTGTAACAGGTGAGACTGAGTTTCCTACCCAGATTACATTTTAGACTCCACCTCTGGTAGTAGGTGCATTTCTTAGTCTAACTCAAACAATAATCAACTTTAATGATTTGTAATAGATTATATAATTCATAGTCAGATCTACCATACTGTGCTAATTTATCATACTAACTGAATCGAATGAAATTCATACTAGAAAAAGCCTGGGTTTACTTCCAAAAACCTAGCACTTATCAATTCACCCCCTGGTATTAAAAGTTGGGTCGTAGTTGCACAATTACTTCCGCCTTACCCAACTTTAAACAAGAAGTCGAAACTATAAACACGCTACTCCCAACAAAACACTTTCGGCTCATCAGTTTACACTCAGCAATTCAAATGAACAGTCGACAGCAATGAAGAATACATCCTTAAAGGATAAATTCAAGAACAACATAAAATTTGTGAAGCCTCTGTACAGAAAAGTGAAAACGAATCGAGTTGGAACTGGGAATGTAACATTTAGTAATTTAGACGTTGACAACAAATTTAAACTATGTGGTGATGCAATTCGTGTCAAACGAGACATATTAAATGATAGAAATAAAAATTATGATATATTAACAATTACAAATAAAGATAACACTACACTACCAGGTGCTTGTGAATATAATAGTACTGTGTTAAACAGAACGAGAATTGTGAAACTAAAAGGATTAAAAGCAAATAATAAAACAGTTCGACATGAAGTAGAGGACGTCATGATAAATAAAACAGCAAGTAAATTAGATAATGAAATACATAATGAAAGTATTGATAAATTCGTTCAAGCTAATGAGGATCTGAAAACAGTAATCGTTAATAAAGTAAGTACCTGACTTTATATGTATATTGATTGATAAAAGATTTATTTGTATTTTCAGTCCACAGATACAATAAAACAAAAAGAAGGGGCAAACCTGGACAAATAAAAAATATACGTACTTTACCATACTGTCATTTTGTTCTATTCCATTCATGAGCAACTGTTTTCTATTAGACTTATCTTCTCTATGCAAAACATGTTTTAAAAAAGTTTTAGAGCGAAAATTCCATCTTTTGTTTCTAAAAATGTAAATTGTTATTCCCTTAAATATACTTCTGGTACAATATAGGGAAATAAATATGTTTTGTTGATTATATACAATATAATTATACTTCATAGCTATAATAGTAAACTACAAGATAATATGAAAGAATTGTATATTTGTTTGTTTGAAAACAAAACTCATTCAAGAATGGGTAAAGGAAGTTAATCTTAGAATAATATAAAACATAAGAAACAGAAATCGGTAGTGAACACCGCAATGATGGCTGAAAGGGATCAATTGAAGAATAACATATTGTTTCAACTGCAAAAAAGAAAAGGGCAACCGGTAAAGACCGTTACAGATATTTTCAAAACAATTTATGAAAGAAAACATCGATTAATTTAATAATAATACCCATTTTTTAATACTCGAGAATGCTTGTTACGTTTTGGTTAGTAATAGCACAGATAACACAATATTAAACCTATTAATATTGTGTTACCTAGGTTAGATTGCACTAATGTTTTATTAGTAATCTATGTGGTAATTCAGTACGTCCATATCTTCACGACTTTACTCGCGGATAAAATAGACATTTTTATACAATTTAATTGTTTTCGGTGTTTATTTCATTGAAACACAAAGTTTTTAGTGTCAGTACATTCTCTTATAAAAGGTAAATTAATTACAGACATAGATTTAGAAATGTTTTTTCAACTTGGTATATTGACGCTACCATAGCAGACTGCTGTCATCATAATGATATTATCATATATGTATATATATATATATTTATAGATACATATATAGGTATATATATATTTATATCTGTCAGTCTCTGAGGTATATTTAATTTAATAAGGAAAAAGGAGCAATATTGTTATATGAATAAAATTATATTTCCTGATATAAAAAAAAATTAATTGTATTAAACGACAGGCTCCAGATACTTGGTTGAGGGTCTACCCAGCTCCACAATATCCCAAAGAACCAGTAATATCTGTAATCTTCCGATGTCTAATATGTCAACTTGGGATCGCCACATTTTTAGTGTTCTGGACAATACTTTGGGTTTTTGTCATTAACTCATTCGAAGGTAAATAATTTATTATTCGTTGTAATTAAGTGTAACTCATTTTTATTGTAATAATCTGACTATTTTGTAATAATCTTATTCTTCTTAATAATATTTACAGACAGTTTTTTAAATAACAACGAAGTTCTTCCGTAATCACAATAAATGAATTACTAATAATTATTTCATTTAATTAATTCATTGATGAATATATTAAGATAAACAACAGACACTAGTTAAGCCTGAAAAAGTTATTAAATGTTAATTAATAATTTAGTATTTTTAATTGCAAATTTTAATACGAAATTGCAGAATCACACGAAATAGAAGTATCGCGGCAGTTTGAGAAGCAACAAAATCAATTAGTTATCGACTTAGCAACTGAATTACGTCAGGTCAGTTTATAAACTATAATCTTATTAATATTATAAACGCGAAAGATTGAGAGTATGGATGGATGTTTATGACTCTTTCACGCAAAAACTACTGAACTGATTTTGATGAAACTTTTAAGCAATATAGCTTATATATCAAAATAACATTGACGCGGGGGACCGCAGGCACAGCTAGTAGTTTTAGTATTTGTAAACGCTACACGTAATGTGCTCACATTTCTCTTCATATATTTGAATTCAATGTGTCAGTACGCGAACCTACCGCCGTCTCTAAGCTACAGAAAATTAATATGTTATATTAGAATAATATCTAAAGACAATTCACACAGTGTCATCAAGTCCCAAGTTATGCAGAACTATGGGTACCAGACAACTTATAAAATATATATAATAGATATTTTTTAAAACAAAAATTAATATATACATATATATCGAATCCGCGAGCTTCAGATGTAAAGCGGTTTGTTAAACCGCTAGACTACTGAGACAATCTAATTATAATTGTAATATATACAATATAGTAATATTTTATTATCCTATCCTCAATTAAAACCAAAAATCACTTAAATTATACCATAATGGAGCTTCGCCTATTTAAATAGTCAGCGAATAAGGTATAATACAAGCCTTCCATTTTAGCGCGTCAAAGGTACAACGCTTCTCAATTTGGCAGATTATCGATCGATCAAATCCACTCAGGTTCTGTTTTGTACACATACTGTATATGCTAATAAGTACCTCTAATAAATACCTAAGGTAAGAAAAGAATGAATTTCAGAATTTCAAATTTAGAACTTTATATTAAATTGATCACTCAACCATGCAGTGCATATGAAGGTTTTAATAATTATTTTCATTTCTATGCCTATTGTGGTAATTTCATCTACGGTTTCATTAGTTTTGTTACTGGCTTCTGACTTAGTATGGACTTTACGACTAATCCTATACACATTACTATTTACTATTTTACTATTTTTTGTTAGTAAGAAAAAGAAAATTTTGGTTAAAAGTTTTATTTATAAACACGTCCAAAGTATATCAAACCTTTTTATCTTTCCTTTCTAATTATCTAAATTGATTTAAAACAAAAGAAATCTACTGAATTATTATGAATTTCTCCTTTTAATCGAAAGTGACAAATTATCATAGTTCCTATAGGTTTCACATTATATACTTGAACGCAATGGCCTCTGGCTCATTTGTCACTCTCTTGAACGGGTGATACTTGTAAAGATTAGTCCGGTCGCTACAATTGTTTGGACCATTCAACTTAGTAGCTAAGATTTTCTGGTAGATATTATAAAGTATCATTAAAATAAATTCAGTAATTTTTGCGTGTAAGAATAACTAACATCCATCCATTCATCCATCCACACTCACAAACTTCCGTGTTTATAATATTAGTAAGATAGTCACATAAAATCATAAATCAGTTTTGTTTGTAAATTTCTTCAAAATTGTGCTCGACTGTAGCTGCATTCCAAATGTGGAGATAAAATCTAAAAATTGCTATTCAAAAATGGTTAAAAAGAATTTCATTTGAATAAAGATTATTTTTATTCTTCTTGTCGATATATCATATCTACATTCTATATTATGAAATTGGTTAAAAATACGTTCATTTTATTCATATCGAAACGCCATTCAGCGAATACATGAAAATATGTTCAGAAGCAATTTTCACATATCGACGAAATGAAATTTGAATATCCCAAGTTGACAGTGAGTACGTATTTATATATGAATGACAACTATATTGTCCCCAGAGTATATCTTGAAATATATAATATTTTTGCTAGAACTACATACTAAACGTTTGCTGTGGCTTCTTGTCGCATTGTAAAGTATAAATTTGACGTGTCAATCTGCGTATCTGTCTGGGGCATCATAAGTCTCAATATAAATCCACTGGTTTAAAAATAAGAATTCAGTTTAGTTTCTTGCCAGTTCTTCTCAATTGAATCTGTACACTGAAATTAATGTTAATACAAAAAAAATATGTTCATAAGCGGCTAGAATGTCCTATAAATTTTTGATTTGATTTGGTACAGTAAAGGAATTAGTCTATTTATAACAATAAATATAGATATTTCTATGTCACTGAAGGAATGAAATAAATATATTTTTAAATTAGAGTAGTAGAATAGAATAGAATAGAAAATCATTTATTCAAATAAATTTAATTTAAGCACTTTTGAATAGTCATAACAATTTGTTTTTTATCTACCACTCGTCCGGAAAGCTGTCTTATCACAAGAAGAACGAGCAAGAAACTTGTGTGTTGCTCTTTTAAATAATCCTTGTAAGTTTACATTTACAAGTCGAAACGTGTGAATACAAACTACCAACAAACACTAATTTTTGGGTCAAATATAAATATGCAATAAGATTAAATCAGTCGTAGTGATAAGAGCAGACCAGTCCCTACAAGCAGCACTCGTAGTAGTAGTCCGGAGTTTAGTTTCCTCATAACAAAATCCGCTCTTTATCTGTCTATATAACTCATATGACCTCTTTATAACTCATATTCTATGTTCGTGGGTTCGATTCCACCTACGGTCCAAATATTTGTATTCATGAGTATGATTGTTTGTATCAGTCTGTGTTTTCTATATATATTAAAAACGTAATTTAAAAAATGTATCTAAGTATTATATCAGTTGTCTGTACCCATAACACAAGTTCTTCTTAGCTTGGAACTAGATGACGCCGTGTGAAATGCGAACGTTTGTCAGTATGTTCTTAACTATTTTCTGTTACTTGTTCAGTCTTATTAATATTATAAATGTGAAAGTTTGTGAGTATGGATGGATGTTTGTTATTCTATCACGCAAAAAGTAGAAAATGGATTTTAAACAAACTTTACAATAATATAACTTATATAACTTACATCAGAATAACACGTAGGCTATAAATTTCATGCGGATGATGCCGCGGGCGCAGCGAGTATTATTATAAATATTTGTCAATAATAATATAACTGTCACGTACGGCAATTGATATTATACGATAATATATACAATAATACGTAAATAGTGTACAGATTACGTACTATGTTAGAACAACTTACACTGTAATATTAGAAACTGAAACATTTTCGTTTGACTCGTGTCGACAAATGCAAATACAAAGTAAATACCTAAATCACTTGTCAGGACCCTACTCAGCAAAGTTTGTTCTATACTAATGCCAATATTATGAAAATAGTTAATAATAGAACTTATTCATACTTTTTTTCACAATACATGACTAATGTGATTTTTATTGTATCAAAAAAAGACTTGATTATGATTGTTGGGGGGAGACCCAAGACTATAAAAAAAAGAGGAGAGCAAATAAGAGCACAGTATTTTCCTATTACACAAAGACTAATTTCAGATGTAAACAATTAAAAATTATTTATATTTGTGCATTTTTAATTTATAAACTTTATTTCTATTTATAAAATGTTTCTCATGTGTGCTATGTTTTTGTAATTGTTGAATAAAGCATTTATCTATCTATCTAAAAAATAATACAAAAAATGTACTTACATTTTTTGTATATATCTAAATAACCCTGGACAATTAACACAGCGCCATCTAGGTACTTAATGACTTCATATTGTTTTGTTTAATTTCGCAATTATTAGCATATATAAGACACAAGTATATGTAAGAGACAAATGTTTAATACGCAAACCTGACCATTGCTTCTGAAAGCTTTATTCCCTTCCCTAACATTCCCCAATAATAATAATTAGATAACTAAATCAAATTATTATTGGAACTACACCCATTATGACATGTGTTTCGCTTCTAAATGAGGTATTACCAGGCAATAAATAGAGTTTGGTTATAGCTTGGAAACTTGGTGTTGATTATTCGGCTACTGTAAAGGTAGCGGAATTAAACAAAATAATAGAAATCCATAAAATATATTCATAAAATAACACGAGAGTATGATTAAACAAAACTAACCTGCTTTCGACATGCTTATGACTACGACTGACTGGAATAAATATTCTTATCTCTAGCCCAAACATGACGAATTAGTCTGAAAACATAACAGACAAACTCGCTTTACAATATTCTTTAAAATACGTATATATTATATTGAGAATATAGCATTGGTATAAAACTTTACTAGAATTCCCTAGCATTAAAGCATTTATAAGTTTATACGTCTACAAGACAGATAAACAAATACACGGGAAATTAAACGACATCCCACGCGCTCGAATTTAAGAGCAACTTCTACTTGGGAATAAGTTTTACAATAAACGTTAGAATGATGCACACTAATTTTCCTTTTTTTTATATACTTAACTATAACAGACAAACTGACAGCCCACCTGATGGAAAATAGCCGTCGCCTGTATATATATTATGTAGAAGAACAACACAATGGACATTACGCTACTATGTGCTTAAGTGGATTACCATACTTCATTACCCAGTAATTCTGGCCTGGCAATGACAAATTCATTTGCTAGTGTATAATAAATTAACGGAATAATTAGAAAATATAAAAAGATATTATAAAATTATTATATACAACTTAAAAAACTTTAAATAAATTTTGCTACAATATCCTTGAATATTTGACAGATAACTTATAAAAAATCAATAAAACACATTAATCTGAAAAAATATTATACAAATATATAAAGCCTCTTAAGTCTTCCACTGTTCCACTGGACCATAGTGCACTTATATATATTATGTCAACACTTATTGTAACATTATAGAATGCAAATTAATTAATAAATAATTTTATTCCCATACCCATCTTAATCTTTAAAGCAGAATACAATTTATAAAACAAAATGATAGATGATCAACTGGTAAAATAGGTGTTATATAGGTACCCGACGACTTTGTCTACAGTCTACCTCGGTAAAAATGACTTGTAATAAATCAACAAGCAATTGACTTCATTAATTTTCCATTATACAACAATCAATCACGAAATCAGATCCATTTAAGGCCAACGAAACGTAAATTCAGTCGTATCGCCGT